CATAAGGCTCCAGTGGCGACGTTCCCATGCGTCCCCGCCACCATTTTCTTTTTGGCACACCCTTCACACGGTTCGTGGCCCCATGGGGAGCTCCACCTAAGGCTCCAGTGGCGACGTTCCCATGCGTCTCCGCCACCCATTTTGGCACACCTCTCACACGGCTCGTGACCCCACCGGGAGCTCCACCTAAAGCTCCAGTGGCGACGTTCCCATGCGTCCCGCCACCCATTTCGGCCCACCCCTCACACGGTTCGTCGCCCCATAGGGAGTTCCGCTTACGGCTTCAGTTGCAACGTTCCCATGCGTCCCCGTCAGAGTTTTTTGGGGCACGTCCTTTCATACGTTTCGCGGCCCCATAGGGAGCTCCACCGAACGCCACAGTGACAGAGTCCACATGCGGCTCCCCGCCCGCCGCACGTCCATGTCGGCACCTCCACACCTAAGGCTCCAATGGCGACTTTCCCATGCGTCCCCGCCATATATTTTGTTGGCGCACTCCCCACACGGTTCGTGACCCCATGGGGCATCCCACCGAAGGCTCTAGTGGCGCCGTTCCCATGCGTCCCCGCCACCAGTTTTTCCCAACCATCCTGTGGTGTTGGGTCCTCGTTTTGAAAGGACAGCGCCCCGCGTTCACTCCTTCCTTCCTCCCGCTGCCCCCTCCCTCGTCACCGCACCCATTTCGGCACACCCCTCACACGTTTCGTGGCCCCATAAGGAGCTCCACCGAGGGCCCCAGTGGCTGCGTTGGCATGGCGGCACCGCACCCATTTCGGCACACCCCTCACACGTTTCGTGGCCCCATAGGGAGCTCCACCGAATGCCCCAGTGGTTGCGTTGGCATGGCGGCACCGCACCCATTTCGGCACACCCCTCACACGTTTCGTGGCCCCATAGGGAGCTCCACCGAGGGCACCAGTGGCTGCGTTGGCACGGCGGCACCGCGCCCATTTCGGCACACCCCTCACACGTTTCGTGGCCCCATAGGGAGCTCCACCGTGGCTGCCATGGCCACCGCACCCATTTCGGGCGTGGCGTTGGCATGGCGGCACCGCACCCATTTCGGCACATCCCTCACACGTTTCGTGGCCCTACAGGGAATTCCACCGAGGGCCCCAGTGGCTGCGTTGGCATGGCGGCACCGCACCCATTTCGGCACACCCCTCACACGTTTCGTGGCCCCATAGGGACTCCACCGAGGTCCCCAGTGGCTGCGTTGGCATGGCGGCACCGCACCCATTTCGGCACACCCCTCACACGTTTCGTGGCCCCAATAGGGAGCTCCACCGAGGGCCCCAGTGGCTGCGTTGGCATGGCGGCACCGCACCCATTTCGGCACACCCCTCACACGCTTCGTGGCCCCATAGGGAGCTCCACCGTGGGCCCCAGTGGCTGCGTTGGCATGGCGGCACCGCACCCATTTCGGCACACCCCTCACACGTTTCGTGGCCCCATAGGGAGCTCCACCGAGGGCCCCAGTGGTTGCGTTGGCATGGCGGCACCGCGCCCATTTCGGCACACCCCTCACCCGTTTCGTGGCCCCATAGGGAGCTCCACCGAGGGCCCCAGTGGCTGCGTTGGCATGGCGGCACCGCACCCATGTCGGCACCCCCCCTCACACGTTTCGTGGCCCCATAGGGAGCTCCACCGAGGGCCCCAGTGGCTGCGTTGGCATGGCGGCACCGCACCCCTTTCGGCACACCCCTCACACGTTTCGTGGCCCCATAGGGAGGTCATCTCTCCACGAGCTGCGTTTTTTTCGGGTTGAACGGTTTTTTTTTCGGGTTGGCGCGCTGCGGAGGCCCCAACCCGAAAAAAAACCCAACCCGAAAAAAAAACGGATGGCGAGTTTTTTTATCGGTTGGGAGGGTTTTTTTCGGGTTGAGAGGGTTTTTGGGGGGGTGTTTTTTTCCGGGTTGTAGTGTTTTTTTTCGAGTTGGGCTGCGGAAGTTGGTTGATTCAGAGGGGGAGCTCTCGTAGTGCCTCGTCGTCGTCGTCGTCGTCGTTGTTGTTCGCCGTCGCCGTTGCCGTTGCCGTTGCCGTCGCCGTCGCCGGCGCCGTCGCCGTCGCAGTTGCCGTCGCCGCTGCAGTCCAAAGTGAACCACAGTGGGCAAGGAGAGGAGGGTGGTCAGGGTGTTGAGCTCTTCTGGATACCATTTTGGAGCATGTTCGCGTGTAACACATTAGTTGCAACACAACGCAATACAATTCTCCAGCGCAGATCGTTTGCAATACAATTGCCCCAAATCTATTGCACCACCCCCTTGCAGCTGGACCCCTTTTGGGTCGCCCAGATGAACATCAAACCCAAGAGCCCAGGAAACCAGGATCCCAGGAACCGAGGGACGCAGGTCCTAGGTTCTTGGATTCATGTAAGCGTAAGAATTCAGAAACCCAGGAAATCAGGAACCCAGGAACTCAGGAATCAGGAACCCAAGAACCCGGGAACGCAGGAACCCAGGAACCGAGGAACCCAAGAACCCAGAGACTCAGGAACGCAGGAACCCAAGGATCGAGGAATTCAGGAACCCAAACCCAAGAATACAGGAACCCAGGGATCAAGGAACCCAAGAACCCAAGATCTCAGGAACCCGGGAGCCCAAGAACGCAGAATCTCAGGAACCCCAAACTCAAGCACCGAACGACCCAGGAATTCAAGAGCCCAGGAACCCAAGACCGCAGGAACTCAGGAACCTAGGAACCCGAGAACCCAGGAACCCAGGAATCCAAACTCAAGAATCCAAGAACCCAGGAGCCCAGGAACCCAGGAAGCCCAGGAACCCAGGAACTCCAGAATTCAGGAATCGAGGAACCGAAGAACCCAGGAACCCAGGAGAGCAGGAAGTCAGGAACCCAAGAACCCAAGATCTCAGGAAGCCAGGAACCCAGGAACCTAAGGACTCAGGAACCCAGGAACCCAAGAACCCAGGAACTCCGGAACCCAGGGAGCCAAGAAACCCAGGAACCCAGGAGAGCAGGAACTCAGAGACCCAAGAACTCGAGAACTCAGGAAACCAGGAATCCAGGAACCCCGGAACCTAAGAACCCAGGACCTCAGGAACCCACAGACCCAGGAACCCAAGAACCCAGGAAGCCAGGCACCCAGGAACCAATGAACCCAAGATCCCAGGGACTCAGGAACACAGGAACAGGGAACCCAAACCCAAGGACCTAGGAACGCAGGAACCCAGGAATCGAAGAACCAAGGAACTCAGGAACTGAGGAACGCAGGAACGCAGGAACCCCAGACCCAAAAACCCAAGAACCCAGGAATCCAGGGACCCAAGATCCCAGGAGCTCAGGACTCAGGAACCCAAGAACTGAAGAATCCAGGAACGCGCACACCCAAGCACCCAGGAACCCAGAAACCGAAGATCCAGGAACCCAAGAACCCAGGAACTCAGGATTCCAGGGAAACCAAGAACCCAGAAAGTCCAGAAGTCCAAGCCCAAGAACCCAGGAGCCCCGGAACCCAGGAACCAAGGAACCCAAGAGCGCAGGAATCCAGGAACCCACGAACCCAGGAACTGGGGAACCCAGGAACCCAGGAACACAGGAACCAAGGAACCCAGGAACCCAAGAACCCAGGAACCCTTGAACTCAGGAACCCACGATAACCTCAGAACCCAAGAACGCAGGAACCCGGGATCGCAGAAAACAAAAAAAGCAGGACCCAGAACATCAGGAACCAAGGAAGTGAGGAACCGAAGAACCCAAGAACCCAGGAAGCCACGGACCCGGCAACTCAGGATATCGGGAACATAGCCACCCAGGAACCCAAGAAAGCAGGAACCGAGGATTGCAGGATCCCAGGAACCCACAAATTTAGGGACACGAGATCCAAGGAACCCAGGAGCCCAGAAGCCAAGAAACCCAGGAACACCAAATGCAAGAACTCAGGGTACCGGGACCTGAGGGACCCAGGAACCCAGCACCGCCAAACCAACGAACCTTTGAGGAGGAGGTGGAGGAGGAGGAGGAGGAGGAGGAGGAGGAGGAGGAGGAGGAGGAGGAGAAGGAGAAGGAGGAGGCGGAGGACGAGGGGGAGGAGGAGGAGGAACAAGAGGAGGGAGGAAGGGAGGGAGGGGGCGAAGCGGGCATATGTCGGTCCCCGGGAGCACAGGAATGAACCCACGGCGCGAAATCAAGATCGAGGATGGCTCCGAGAGCTGCTTGGGAATTCCAAGGGCGGATGTCGGGGCTGGGTCCTCACGGGCGGGCGGGTCACGGGCGGGCGGGTCGGGCGGCGGGCGGGCGGCGGGTCGGGCGGGCGGGACATTCAAGTATAACGCACATGCACCTGATGACGCATGCACCATGTGACACGCGTGGAACCCGAACGGACGAAAAACGGGTCGGGCAGGCGGGGTTTTAACGGGCGGGCGCGGCAGGCGGCTGGCGGGGCCCGAACGGGGCGGGCGGGCGAGCGGGTCGGGCGGGCGGGACATTGAAAATATGGCGCAGATGCAAAGTGCACCAGGTGGCACGCGTGTAACCAGGTGGCGTGTGGACGCGTACCAGGTGGCACGCGTGTGACAGTTGACGCGTGTACCACGTGGCACGCGTGGAACCATAATGGGCGGGCGGCGGGTAGACTGTAATGGGCGGGCGGGCCGGGCAGGCGGCGGGTCCGGCGGGCGGGACATGCAAGTAGGACGCATGTGCGCAGTATGACGCATGTACCAGGTGGCGCGCGTGGAACCCTGACGGGCTGGCGGCGGGTCGTGCGGGCGAGACACTAACAGGCGAGCGGGTCGGGCGGCGGGCGGGGCCCTCGCGGGCGGACTCGGACGGGCGGGACATTACAGTATGACGCATGTACACAGTATGGCGCATGTACCCAGTTGCACGCGTGGAACCCTGACGGGCGGGTGGCGGGTAACGCAGGCGGGAACCCTGACGGGCGGGCGGATCGCGCGGCGGGCGAGCGGCGGGTCAGGCGGGCGGGACGTTCAAGCACAACGCGTATACACATTATGACGCATGTACCAGGTGGCACGCATGGAACCCTCACGGGCGAAAAGCGCGTCGGGCAGGCGGGACCCTAACGGGCGGGCGGGTCAGGCTGCGGGCGGGACCATAACGGGCGGGCGGGTGGCGGGTCGGGCGGGCGGGACATGAAAGTATGGCGCATATGCCAAGTATGACGCATGTACCAGGTGGCACGCGTAGAACCATCACGGTTGGGCTGCGGGTCGAGCAAGCGGACACTAATTGGCGAGTGGGTCGGGCGGGCGGCGGGTCGAGCGGGCGGGAGATCAAAGTAGGACGCATGTGCACATCATGACGCATGTACCAGGTGGCACGCGTGGAACCCTGACGGGCAGGCGGCGGGTACTGCGGGCGGGACCCTAACGGCCGGGCGGGTCGGGCGCCAGGCGGGTCTCTGACGGGCGGGGTCGGGCGGGCGGTACATTCAAGTATGACGCATTTACACATTATGACGCATGTGCCAAGTGGCACGCGTGGAACCCAGACGGACGTGCGGCGGTTCGGGCAGGCGGGAACCCTGACGGGCGGGCGGCTCGGGCGGCGAACGGGCGGCGTGTCGGGCGGGCGGGACATTCAAGTATGACGCATGTGCACATTATGCACATGTAGGAGGTGGCACACGTGGAACCCTAACGGGAGAGGAAAGACCCCCATGAGACCCACAGAGCCTCGGTCCTTCAGGTCCGAAGTGTGAACTCGGCATGAACCTCAACATGAGTTCTGGTTCCTCTCTGGAGATCGGACGCACGACTCACCCGGGCCTGTGATAGCATCTTTGGAGCCATCTTGGAGCATCTTCGACTATCGAGAACAATATTCGACGTCATCTTCGGCTATCTGCGGCTCTCTTGGAGCCGTCTTGGGCGAAAAGGGGCACTCTGACACCTCGCGGGGCGCCCCGCCCAGGTCCCAGGGAAGGGGCAGGGAAGAGGGGTCAACCCCTCCCCGAAGCGGGAGAAGGGGGGTGGAAGAGGAAAGTCCCCAAAACCACCCACGCGCTTCAGGGTCGGTGGGATGGACACGGTAGGTTTCGCGTCTAGTCGACATGGGGTGCGGTGGGCCGCCCACTCCCTCCGCCTCTCTTCTCCAAGGCAACGATAGCGCTGGCGGAGCCGTTCAAGATTGATCACTCCTCTGGGAAACCGTTCAAGGTTGAACATTCCCCTGGGGAGTGGGCGAGGGGGCGAAGCGGGCACATGTCGGTCCCGGGGGTCACAGGAATGAGCCCACGGCGCGAAATCAAGATCGACGATGGCTCCGAGAGCTGCTTGGGAATTCCAAGGGCGGATGTCGGGGCTGGGCCCTCACGGGCGGGCGGGTCGGGCGGCGGGCGAGCGGCGGGTCGGGCGGGCGGGACATTCAAGTATAATGCATATGCACCTGATGACGCATGTACCATGTGACACGCGTGGAACCCGAACGGACGAAAAACGGGTCGGGCACGCGGGGCTTTGACGGGCGGGCGCGGCAGGCGGCTGGCGGGGCCCGAACGGGGCGGGCGGGCGAGCGGGTCGGGCGGGCGGGACATTGAAAGTATGGCGCAGATGCAAAGTATGGCGCGTTCACCAGGTGGCACGCGTGGAACCATAATGGGCGGGCGGCGGGTTGAGCGGGCGAGACTGTAATGGGCGGGCGGGCCGGGCAGGCGGCGGGTCCGGCGGGCGGGACATGCAAGTATGACGCATGTGCGCAGGATGACGCATGTACCAGGTGGCACGCGTGGAACCCTGACGGGCTGGCGGCGGGCAACGCAGGCGGGAGCCATGACGGGCGGGCGGATCGTGCGGCGGGCGAGCGGCGGGTCAGGCGGGCGAGACGTTAAAGTACAACGCGTATACACATTATGACGCATGTACCAGGTGGCACGCATGGAACCCTCACGGGCGAAAAGCGCGTCGGGCAGGCGGGACCCTAACGGGCGGGCGGGTCAGGCTGCGGGCGGGACCATCACGGGCGGGCGGGTGGCGGGTCGGGCGGGCGGGACATTAAGATATGGCGCAGATGCCAAGTATGACGCATGTACCAGGTGGCACGCGTGGAACCATCACGGTCGGGCTGCGGGTCGAGCAAGCGGACACTAATGGGCGAGTGGGTCGGGCGGGCGGCGGGTCGAGCGGGCGGGAGATTGAAGTAGGACGCATGTGCACATCATGACGCATGTACCAGGTGGCACCCGTGGAACCCTGACGGGCAGGCGGCGGGTCGTGCGGGCGGGACCCTAACGGCCGGTCGGGTCGGGCGGCGGGCGGGTCTCTGACGGGTGGGGTCGGGCGGGTGGTACATTAAAGTATGACGCATTTACACAATATGACGCATATACCAAGTGGCACGCGTGGAACCCAGACGGACGTGCGGCGGTTCGGGCAGGCGGCAACCCTGACGGGCGGGCGGCTCGGGCGGCGAACGGGCGGCGGGTCGGGCGGGCGGGACATTAAAGTATGACGCATGTGCGCAGCATGACGCATGTACAAGGTGGCACGCGTGGAACCCTAACGGGCGAAAGGCGGGTCGTGCGGGCGAGACCCTAACGGCCGAGCGGGTCGGGCGGCGGGCGGGGCCCTCGCGGGCGGACTCGGACGGGCGGGACATTAAAGTATGACGCATGTACACAGAATGGCGCATGTACCAAGTTGCACGCGTGGAACCCTGACGGGCGGGCGGCGGGCAACGCAGGCGGGAGCCCTGACGGGCGGGCGCATCGTGCGGCGGGCGAGCGGCGGGTCAGGCGGGTGGGACGTTAAAGTACAACGCGTATACACATTATGACGCATGTAACAGGTGGCCCGCATGGAACCCTCACGGGCGAAACGCGGGTCGGGCAGGCGGGACCCTAACGGGCGGGCGGGTCAGGCTACGGGCGGGACCATCACGGGCGGGCGGGTGGCGGGTCGGGCGGGCGGGACATTAAAGTATGGCGCAGATGCCAAGTATGACGCATGTACCAGGTGGCACGCGTGGAACCATCACGGTCGGGCTGCGGGTCGAGCAAGCGGACACTAATGGGCGAATGGGTCGGGCGGGCGGCGGGTCGAGCGGGCGGAACATTAAAGTAGGACGCATGTGCACATCATGACGCATGCACCAGGTGGCACACGAACCCGAACCCTGTAACGCTGACCCTGACACCTGAAGCCGAACCCTCCCCCCCAGTTCTGACTTAAACGGAATCAACCGAACGCCCGAAACGGAACGCCCAAACCCGAGCCCCAACCCCGAATCGTAAGACCCAAACACGAACAACGTGACCCGCACATCCGAGCCCGAATACCGAAATACGAACCCGAACACCCGAAGTCCAGGTAACCGCGCCGAAATGCCCGAGGGCCGAAAGCAGCAAAACCCGGGAACCCTGGACCCGGAAGGCCCCAGCAGCCGAAGGCCCGAATGCCTGAACATTCGGAAACACGAAAACTCGAATACACAACTCGAGCCACCCAACCCGAGAAAATAACCTCACAACCCGCAGAAACCCTAACACCCGAAGTCCAGGTAACCGCACCAAAATGCCCGAGGGCCGAAAGCAGCAAAACCCCGAAACCATGGACCCCGAAGGCCCCAGCAGCCGGAAGCCCGAATGCCTGAACATTCGGAAACCCGAAGGCTCGAATACCCAACTCGAGCCACCCAACCCGAGAAAATACCCTCGCAACCTGCAGAAAAACCCAACCCGAAAAAATACCCCCCCAACTCGAAAAAAACCCGGCCAACCCGAACAAAAAAAACGCGGAGGGTTTTTTCGGGTGGAGGCCGGGTTTTTGTTTGGGGCTGGAGCCGAAAACCGAAAAAAAAACCTTTCAACCCGAAAAACAACCCAGCTCCTATGATCCTTGCGAATCGACGCTAATCGACGCTAGTCGACGCTAGTCGACGCTAAATCGACGCTAAATCGACGCTAATCGCGCTAGCCGACGCTAAATCGGCGCTATCTGATCGACTCCCAGACGCTAACAGACGCTAATCGACGCTAAAAACGGAATTAACAGAGTACGCCAGGCTCCCATGATTTGCGACCGAACCAATTTCCCTAGTTGTATAGCCCCAATGCGACCGCCACCGAGCATAGATCATAAGATTCCCCAGCGCGCGGATTACCCCCTTGGGGGGAGCGCGCACAAAGTAGTAATATGTTTGGTTGACGCCGATCACCAGCAGCCTCTCCGACCGGCTCCCAGCGCGTCTTCACCTGAGCGACACAGAAGACAACGGGTCTGAACCGCGAGAGGGTACGGATGCAGCTGATGCCGAAACAACGCGGATCCAAACTTTGCGTTCCAGAATACGAGGTGATGCAATCTATCTGGTGCAAGCAATGTGGCGCAGGCGATATGGTGGAAGCTACGTGGTCCAATCTACATGGTGCAATTACTGCGAGCCAAATGCAGTGCGATAAATATGGTGTGATCTATGTGGTGTGAACTATGTGGCGCAGTAGATGTGGTGCAGTAGATGTGGCGCATGAAACGTGATGCAAGCTATGCGAAGCAATCCATGTTAAGCAACCCGATGTGGTGCATTTACTTTCTGTCCGCAGTGAGTTGTCCACTGCACTGCTCGCGCAATCATCCCACCCACCCACCCGTATCTTGGTTTGCAAAACCTATGCAGCGTCGATTGCGATGAGTGCTTGGAGTTGGCTGGTGCATCTCTGCGGCCGCGCTAGCCCGCGCATGCTCGCAGTCGCAGCGGCCGGCTAGTTTGGCGCGACCGAGGCGACCGCGGTGGCGCTGACCGCTGGGTACTTCCAGGCGGGCACTTCAGTGCGAGTCGGTGACTTGGGCGGGCGCGGTATCATGGCAACGTCGACAACGGTAGACGCGATTATGATGGTAGCGATGCTGGTAACGATGATGCCAACGACGACGACAAGGCCTGTGACGGCGCCGATTCTGATCACGCCGACGACGATGACGGTGTCCTCGCGTCGGTGGTGAAGGTTTGGGGGGACTTCGACACGCGCGCGCGGCCGACGCACGAGAGTGGCCCGCCTGGAATTATTTGACACGGATCCTGCCCCCCCCCAGCACGCGCGCAAGGGCGTTCGAATGACTTCGACGTGCGGCGCGACGGGCTGAGTTCCATGAAAATGTTGAAAACGCATGGCTTTCTAAAAAACTCGCCGGGGCGCGAGCGCCGGCATGCAGTGCTGTGCATGAAGTTATCCATGGCGTTCCCGCCGTCCCACGAAACATCCGGAACTGACCCACATGTCTCTCCAACAACACCAACAAGTGACCAACCATTCCGCACAAGACAGTTCCACGAACGATCAAATTCAAGGGGTCAGCGGGTGTGGCGCAAGCCTGTAGAATCATATGTAATACTATCCCAGGGGGTAGCGATAAACCTGGGAGGCATGTCAGAATTCAGTTTTAGAAAGGAGGCTCTATGTGATAAAATGTGGTGCACGCTATGTGGTTCAAGCTGTGTGTTGCAATTTACGTGGTGCAAGCTATGTGATACAACCAACAGGGTGCAATTAATGCAAAGCAATGAGAAGCAATGGAAAGCGATGCAAAGCAATGCAAAGCAATGCAAAGCAACGCAGAGCAGTGCGAAGCAATGCAAAGCAATGCAAAGCAACGCAAAGCAATGCAAAGCAATGTAAAGCATCACTGCAGGCCCAAACGACGGGCGCGACGAAGCGGCGGCGGGGCGGCGACGGGGCGGCGAGGGAGCGGCGACGGAGACAACGTAGCAGCCAGACCGACCCGCAGGCCCAGACGACGGGCAGCGACGGGGCGGCGACGGGGCGGCAACGGCGACGACATAGCCGCCACCCTGGCCCGCACGCCCAGTTCTTTAGAAAACAAGTTTGAACCCTTAGGTGCAAGCACTGTTTGGGGAAACATCGACAACTACAACAAGCACAAGGACAAGAACAAGAACGAGAACAGCAACAACAACAACAACAACAACAACAACAACAACAACAACAACAACAACAACAACAACAACAACATCAACATCAACATCAACAACAACAACAACAACAACAACAACAACAACAACAACAACAACAACAACAACAACAACACTAGTAATAAGTTTAAGACTGTTCGCCCTTATATGCTCGAGTGTCGAATAACGCGTATTTCCCAAACCCTCGATACCCGCCCTCTTCGTCTTCGATCGAACCCCTTTTGGGGGGTATACCTTTCTTCCCTGCAGGCCGGGCCCCGGCAAGCGGCGGGGCGGCCGCGGACCGTCGGCTTGGCCAGCGGCAGCGCTGATCGGCGGGGCGGCCGCGGACCGTCGACCCGACCCCAAGAGGGACGGACAGGGGACCGACCACGACGACGACGACGACGACGACGACGACGACGACGACGCGACGTCGAAGACGACGGCGACGACGGCGACGACGAGCGAAAGCGAGAGCGAGAGAGAACGACAGCAGGGCCACGAAACGCACGAAGTAGGCCACGAAGGGCGACAGCGGGGACACGAAGGGAATGCGTATGGGGCCACGAAGAGTGCGAACGAGCGGGGGCCACGAAGTGCAGATAATGCGGGGCCACAGAAGGCAACTATGGGGCCATTGAGGGTAGCAACTGGGCCACGTAGGACAATGAGGGGGACACAAATGGCGACAGCGGGGCCACGAAGGGCGTGCACATGGGGCCACAACGTGCGCGACTCCTGGGTGCCTGGGTGTCGGGAGCGCGGCGCTTGGGCAAATTGTAGGAAATTCCAACGCAAGGCTATTCTTCAGTAAGTTGCAAGCAAGTGTCCAGCGAGAGCGCGACTCCAGAGCTCCGGGAGAGCAATTCCTGAATAAATTGCACGAGTGTCCCAAGCGAGAGCGCGATGACTGAATAAAATGCGAGGAAGTCTCGAGCGGGAGCGGGGGTCCTGCCTAAATTGTAAGGAAGTCTCAGGCGGGAGCCGTTGTTGTTGTAACCCGGGGGCCAGGGAGCCAGTTTGAACAGGAAGACTTTCCCTGTCAAAAAACAGGGTGGGAGCGTCAAGGGGCACACTTTGATTGAAAAAACAGTATGCACCGGTGGGGGGGGATCAACAATAATTATTCTTCAGAAATGAAAATTCAACAACAACAACAACAACAACAACAACAACAACAACAACAACAACAACAACAAGAAGAAGAAGAAGAATAACAACAACCACAACAACAACAGCAACAACAACAACAGCAGCAGCAACAACCACATAAACATAAACAACAGCAGGAATTACAACCACAGCAGCAACAACAACAACATGAACATAAACAACAGCAGCAACAACAGCAACAACAACAGCAACAACAAAAACAAAAACAGCACCATCAACCACAACAGCATCGAAAACAACAACAATAACAGCACGACAACAAAAACAGCACCACCACCACCAACAGCAACAGCAACAGCAGCAGCAACAACAGCAACAGCAGCAGCAACAACAACAGCGCCAACAAACACACGAAAACCGAACATTCGAGTTTGAGACCTCGTCTACGGGCACGGCGGCCCCGCGCGGAGTCTCTCATACGGGCCGCCTGCGCGGCACGCCGCGCGGAAGACGAGGGCGCCGGCGCGCGGCCTTGCGCGGGCAGCCTGCGCGCGACTGTCCGCGCCGTCGGCCCCGTTTGGTCAAGTCGCTCGCCTGGTTCTTCAGGAGGATGGCGGAGGCTTGCCGCACCTCTGGCAGGCAAAACAAGCTGCAAACACGTGCATCTCCTCCGCATACCCTTTCCCTGACGCGCTGGAGCGGGCGGGCCGCCATGAGGAAGTCGTGCGAGGCTATTGGAGGGCGTGGCTACTTGAGAGAGACGCCCTTTGATTGGGGGAGGACCCCAAGCCGCAGCCTGCACATGGGGTGCTGATAGTGCGGACAAGCCTTGTCTTTCATCCCCCCCTCAGAGCTGAGCTGTGGCACATGCAAATCGTCGCGCACTGCCAGGAACGTGGGGGGGAGGAAGAGGAGTAGGAGTAGGGGGAGGAGGAGGAGGACGACGACGACGAGAACATGGTTCGCGGACCCTGGTGGCCATGCACCTCGCTTCCCTTGTCCCATCACCAGCTCCAGTAAACTGGCATGGCCGCAGCACCGACCTTGCCGGTGCTACCGCATCTGCGTGTGTTATCCCTGGTGAGTGTTTTCAGGACGGGGGGGAAGTGCTGGACAGTGAATTTTCGGCCTTCATTGAGCCGTCGGACCCTTTCCTAAAAGCGGCCACCGCGGGGCCGACGGGGCTCATGGCCGAGGGTGGCCGTCTGACGGTCCGTGCTAATGCTCTGCACTCCCACGTCCCACTTGCCTTGCTCTCCTGAGCTGACATAGGCGACAAACCCGAACGTCATGAGTCCCCGACCGATCGACGAGGAGGAGAAGGAGGAGGAGACAAAGGAAAACGGGGAATGACGAGATGAGACCAATCGCAAAGCGACTCTACGATAGAAGGAACTACCCCTGAGAGCAGACCGCCGTCTCAGCTTTACTGAGCACCTCTGTCCACAGCCCTCGGGAGACTATGATTCGAGAGACCCACGCCTGGCTCTGGTGAGCGGGGCGGGGGAGACACTGCGCAGGACCCCGCAGCTGAGATTGCCTGTGGTGCCCGCGTGACCCGCAGAGCCACAAGCCTGAAGCTTCGCGGAATTCCAAGCCATGCGAGTCGTGGCCCCACCCCCCAGCGAGACGCAATCGCCTCCCCGACGACAACCTCAAGGTGGGGCCAGACCACTTCTCAAGACCAAAGCAATCACGGACCAGCCAACGCGGTCTCTCCGCATCAGACTCTGGACCCCTACAAACTTGACAACGAGCCAGCCTTGCTGCGAGCAACACGCCAGTGGTCGGGAGAGAGAACACAAGCAACAGCACCAGCACCGAGCGGACCAGCGGGAGCTCCACTCAGAGGGAGGGAAGGGGAATCGGCTTCCGAATAAAAGGAATTCTCGCTGGGTGGGTCTCAACAGAATCACTCCGGGTCGAGCTGACAAACCGGACGACAAGCACCGACCCTAAGAATTCACGGGAGTACCACCCCTCGAGCATGGATCTCCCTCGAACAAACGCAGAAGCCATTCGAGGAGAAGGCCGGAGAGGAGCACGCGGGGGGCGGACACTCGGGATCCCCAGGATTGGGCTCGTCAGCCCCAGGGCCCACTTCGTCGTTCATTGGTTCATAACCGAAATGGCACCCTTCCGAAAATGCAGGAGCCTCGAGATCCCTCGCGCC